AACCTAAAAAGAAAAAAAAGGCTTATATTTTATATGGTTTTCACTTTTTCCTGTAATTCATTTTATTATATTTTTCAAATACCCAGCTGGGAGACTTTTTAAAATCCTTCACCAAAAATAGTTAGCAAAGCACCGCTCTATACCACACTCCTTTAAACAAATTCAAACAAAACACAGCTCTAATTTAGCAACTTTTCACCTGCTAAACAACAGGGAGTTGTACTAGGTCACCCATGAGCTCCTCTAGCTCTATAATTCTCCACAGGTGCAGTTATAGCTCACTTTCTTACAGGTGGCTCGCTTGCTTTGTAAATTATCCAGGACAAGATTTTATATTTACAGCTAATTTTTTGCTGCCTCTCACTGTAGCTCTGCACCCCGTCTCCCACTGTGAGACCGTGTGGCTTTGAAGAATAAAGAGCATTGTAATAACAGCCTAATCAAAATGTAATTAAGAAAGGTAATTTGGCACCAAAATATTACATAATACACATCAAAGATTAAACTCTAGGTATTTTTTACCATCTGCTATTTTGGATTATCACCCTCTCCTCCACTGAGATTTATGTATTTATATCAATATACTGAAGTACGCATTTCTTTCTGAACCTCTTTGTGCTTGCCTTAGCATAATACACGTTGTATTTTATTATAATCATTTGTTTAACATTCAGATTCCTTGCCAGGCTTTTAGCTTTACAAGAATGGGCGTCATTTCTGTCTTGCCGCTGGGTTCTAGTGCTTTACAGTCTCTGATACACTGGGTCCGGCAGAAGGAAGGCCTGCCTGAGTGTGGTTGGTAGGGTAATAATATGAGTATAATAATTTATAGTTTTAATTTGAACATTTCACCTAAAATGCCATATGGTGTGCTTCAGGGTGATATTGTTATATTACAGAATTACATGTTTACGATTTTGTAATAAAGATTTTATAATAAAAAAAGGGGTGTTATCTGTGCTGGATCCTGTATAATAGATATTTGTTTGAATGACTGAGTGAATGGATGAATCAATGAAATTCTTAGAGGAGGAACCATGAAGTAGGCTTTCATGTCTTTAGAGTATCTTAAATATTTCTTATTCCATAATCTCTGAGCATAAGTTCTATAGTTTGAATAGAATCTAAGACTTGATGTGGGTCTGTCCAAAGAGCCACAGTTACAAGATGTCTTAATTCCTTCAACTCAGCTTTCTAAAAAAATGCCACCTGCCCAACCTAACTTTTATCTGCAAGTCTATTTCTGATAGCTGTCAACCTCTCTCATTTTCTGCTTCAGTGAGACATAGTAAATTTTGCTTTTACATTTTTATTGGTGAACACATCATATCTCTGTTGCTTGTACTGCCTAAGCAGGGTTCTTTTTTAATTTTAATTTAGCCAGCAGGAGCTTGAAAAGCAAAGTACTTTAAGCTAGAAATTACTTTCCTTCTCCAGAGAAAGCGTAGACAAGCAAGTTTAAAAAAAGATCCAATTAAATAAGCTCCTGTCTCTGGGAACTCTGAGTTGGTGCCCAAGGTCTGCATGTTTCCCGGGTAATATCTAACGAGGTCTCCCTTTTTTGATTGACACTGCTTACAGTGAGCAAGGAATGACATTACAATAAGCATTACTCCCAGGGCTTTCCGAATGCGCTGACCCTCTGAAAGTTTCCAAACGGCTTTTCTTGTGTGCTGCGAGGGGCCATCTGGCTCACCGTAGATAAACAACTTTCAACATATGGGCCATAACACATACACAGCTCTGCTCCACTAGTGCAGAAAATTAAGAAAAGGTTGCTCTCGATATGAGAAACTCAGGCAAAAAGAAGCGGCACCCTGGAGTGCGGGGTTTGCCCCGACGTGCTCACGGGAGAGCTTAATCCAGGCTCCTTCTCACCCTCTCGCTGCCTGCATCCCTTGACCACTCCGAGTCTCCCGAATCTCCTCATCTGAAAATTCAAAGGGTGCCAAGTCAACCCTGGCCTTCCTCCTTCCCTTCCCCTCCTTCCTTCCCTGCCTTTTTTTCTTCCTCCCTTCCTATTAAAAAATATTTATTATGCTCCTACTATTTATGTTCTAAGCATGGTGTTAGGTGCTAGGCATATTGGCAAGGAAAGCAGACATGGTCCCTGCCCCTGAAGAACTACTAAACAAGGATGGAAACGAACATTAATGCATAACAGACTAGACAGCATATTCCAGGCAGAAAGGAAAAGCACATGTGAAGGTCCTGAGATGGGAAGTGCACAGGCTGTTTAAAAATGCAGGGTTTGTAAACCTTTGTATCCATTAAATTCAGAATTCACTTGACAATCAAAATGCTGAAAGGAAAGTCCCCACCACTGACAGACGACAATTCAGACAATTATTGTATTAGCATAAGCTACTTGAAAAATTGACTGAATTCTCTATTCCTACTGTTAATCTCATGCCTGCAATGAATGAATCTAATAAAATTTCATGAAAATGTACATCAAACACATACGCAGGCATCTCAAGCACGTGACACCATAGTAAATTCCTTAAGAATCCTAAGTTTCTGGAAAACCTAGAAATTCTATAAGCACCTCCTGTTTAATAGCTGTAAGATAAAAGTAGGGCAAAGGTCATTAAGTTATTTATTACAAGTACTTCACTTCCTGAGCCTGGTTTCCCATACTCAGCCTTTCTAGAAGCTGACAACTGATGTTCTAGACTGAGAGGGAGATTAGTCATTCTTCCTGGGCAGACAAAAATTTATTTGAAATGTTTATTTCAGTGATTGTTCCCAATTCTTAGTAAAAACAAAAATGCCATACGTGAAATAGCAAAACTGTTCGATGTTCTCTTCATTGTCTCAGTTTCTGCCTTGTCTTTCTCTCGGCTGCCGCGCTTACAGTGAATAGCACTCAGCCCCTCACCAGAATGAAGCAGAGAGTTCAGTGATCAAGGTGTTCAAGTCAGGCAGATAAAGATGCATTTTTAATAATTCAGGTCCTAATAAAAACATTAAGTAAACACATTTGAAAACCTAAATCCATCCAATTAACCACAATGCCATCTTATGGACAGGAAAATTTAAAAAAAAAAAAAAGTATCACTCTCTGCCAACAACCTGAAGGCCAGCTCCTTAAAAGTAAGAACTCGCTTTCCTCATCTCTAGCCCTTCATGTCCACAGTGCTGAAAGTAACAAAAGCCCAATAAACACTCATTAATCAAGAAATGAACACTCATTTAAAAAAAAACCAAAACTTACCAAATGGATGAATCCTTACAGTGAAATGCAACTAATTACAGAGCTGCTTCAACTGCCTGTTAGGATTTAGCAAACATAGTAAGCTTGCCTGCCTGTTATTCAACATAGAGCAACATTTACGACATCAGACTTTCAATTAAAAATCATTACTTAAGTTGCTTTATTACAGCTACAAATAAACTTTATTTGATGTAATGTAATAAAACATTTTCAAATTTAACATTTATCTGACCAGAATTAATCATTTAAATTATGAATATAAGTATTTACATCACTTTAGCAAATCTGCGGTTCAGGAATTTGTACAGGCTTGGTCTGAAAGGACAGGGCCCCACCTCCCCTTCCAGGAAAGGCAGATCCTCCCCTGTATCTGGTAAGAAGCAATGTCAATGAGAGTTGGAAGAAATCCATAATCCACGTTGGAATGCCACATTATCCTGGGAGGAAACAGCTACGTTTACGGTAGGAAAATAATATTCTCTTGCAGTTCTCTTTTATCAAATGAAGGTTTGCATTCACTTTATCCCCTTAGAGGTATTCTTCTGTTATACTGTCTTTCTGCCTTCTTAACTCATAATATTTCATAATTCCATTAAAAAAAGGACTATCCACAAAGGGACCTTTTCTGTTTCCTTGTCTGCCCTTAATGCCTATCACTTTAGGGAGGGAGAGAGCAGGAGAACAGAATGGGCCAGGCACACATTTGATTTAAGATACAGAGAACACAAAAACAAATCCTTTAGAAGGAACAGAATGGTATTCTGGAGCGTTCACAAACAGTGAGTATCCCAGGTGACCTCTGATTCATATGATTCTGTTTAACACAATTATGCTCCATGAGAATTCACATATTGATGCTCTGTTTCCAGAAGCATCACAGCCTTTCATGGAAACCCCACTATTCCCCTACTTCCTCCCAAAAACACAGTTATGGACCAGCCTGTGGGCCCATTGCACCCATGTGTAATGAGAGTCAAAAGTTCAGTGCCAACTCCCACATTAATGAACAGTGTGGTTAAGTAAAAAAGTCCTCATGGAAGGAATCCTGCTCACCTCTCAGGACCCCTCAGAAGTGTGAGCACAAGAAAAAGCTTTATTCAGGTTTTAGGGTTCTCTCCATCCTGAGAGCTGTTCCTGAGTTATACCACAACAAGAAGTGAGATAACAAAGAAAGTACGTTGGCGGGGAGGCCACAGGGACCCTGCAAAAAGCCAAACTGTTTGACGGTAGCTTAGAACACACACTGCTCTGGGGAATCATTTGTGTGAGCTGATGACAAGATTCTGTTTTCTAACACAGGACATGCAACATAGTCAACACACTATGCTTACCGCAGTTAGTGTGGCAAAACACCCTTCTGTCCTACAACACAATTAATTCTGTCTCATGAATGATTCCTGAATATTCACCGCAATGCCTAGACTCGGAAGCATGGGAAGTGCACATTGGAACTCGCTTCCACTTGCATGGGCTTGGACAAACGCAAAGCATCAGAAACTGTTCTGGAACTCAGCTCTGTTCGGAGCTTACCGCCGAGCTGCTCTGGCTATCTGAAACTGAGAACTATCTTGATTTGGACGCAATAGCACTGATCCACAGGGGAGAAAAAGGGGAGGTCACCATCTCCCTCATAACATGCTTGTACAACACATCACCCTGCTTGTCACTTTGAACCATCCCAAGAAAAAACGGAAGCCGCATTCCATAGTCTCAGCAAATGATTTCGTTCTGTTTCCACCTCTGTCTTGCCTTGTTTTTCTCGTCTCCATGATTTCGCTTTTGATCATGAATCATGACTTTTTTTCCTACGGTAGTCAGAGTTTTGTCTATAAAGAGAGAGAGAGAGAAAGAGAAGACATGAAAATGATTTAGCAGAACCATAAATGTTTCTCTTCTGTGGTGGGTGGATTTAATTTTTACAGCATTCTGTAATTTGAAGCATTTGTGGCTTCTAAGGGGCTATGAGCATCTCTAAAGGAAAAGCGCTGTGGCTCCTTTAATAAATTCCATAACTGTTGTAAGTTGTCAGGGCCTTCATATATTTGCAAATCAGCCCCACATAACCCATTTAGAAATTCACTTTTATGATACAGCTGTAGCCAAAAAACGGTGCGACTCTCAAAAATCCTTGCAAATACTACTGCACTTGCCCTACTTGAAAAGAGTAACGATGACTACTAATGAGCAGTGTTCTCCCCTTCAGACCGAGGAGGGCGCATTGCATAGTAAGCCATGTGTGCAGACACCAGGAGGGCCTACCTCCTTCATTTCCTTCCCCCCAGGTTCACAGGAGTGGCATGAGCCATGGCCAAGTCTTGGCCAACAGCTGAGGGAAAGTCTCTTTTTGCTTGGCATAGAGCCACCTTCCCTCTCGATCCACACTGCCCTAACTCTATACCTTCACGAAACTTGGCTTGCCAAACTACACCCTTGTACTCGAGAGCTAGGTCCGTGGGGTTCCAGGGCCAGGCCCTGCACCTCCAGCCTCTGCCTCCCCATCCCATTGAAAGTGCCCCTCTCACTTGACCACCAAGACCCCACAAATGGGTTTTTCCCAGTGACAGGATCCATCTCTCCAGACGCCATCCCTCACTTTGTCCCTAAGGACAAGACTGGGGCCACACTTCAGCTCAGGCCCACGCTCCAGGCTCCTGGGTACCCACTTGGCCCTCCTTGCTGACCCCAATCTACCCAGCTCCCAGGTTCTGCTAAAGATGTGTCCCATCCACATCTGTGTGCCCGCTTCTGTCCAAACTCTCTTCTCTGTTTTGAGTAGCCCCAACCCCACCTCCACCCCTGCCATCCCTTTCTGTTAAAAGCTTTCTCTCTATTCAAAACCCACCCAGATTATCGCTTCCTTCATAAATGTCACCATGGGTATTTTCTTGCTAAAACATCTCCCCAATGCTTATTTTTCTTCTGTACCCATCTGTACTGCTTGATTTTACTTTGTGCTATGTGTATTTACTATCTATGAAAAAAATTTTTTAAAAAGCAAGAGAGGTCAATTGCCTGCCTTTCCTACTTTAGAGAGACAATGTAAAGCATGAAGCAAACAAGCTATTATTATTAATAATCAATGATTTCATAAAACTAAAGTGCTGCATTCCAGCTAGTTAATACTATGGTGGGGAAAAAAAATCCAGGAAATAGCAAACTTTTTGTTTTTTCTGTCGTTAAAGGAGCATCCCACCACAGATATGCAGGGTTTCGGGGGACGTGATGCTTCTTCCCAATTTCTACTGGGACCCATTTTGTTTGCCTTTTCTAGTCATTGGTTCCATGAAGAAAAGGTAGAATTGCCCTGAACTCTGAAGCCTCAGCACGAACCCTGGAGCAGCTGACTGACAAAACTCAGGACCGGAACCCAAGGCTGCTCCACGGGGACTGACCACTGCAGTGGACGGGGGTCCTGAGAGTCTCTGAAGAGAAGGACCACCCCCAAGCTGAAGAAGGGTGCAGGAACGGAAGAGCTACTTGAAAACAATCTCATGAAATTCTTTTATATGGAAGTACTTTAGAAACTGCTTTTCCGTATTGTTCACAATAACGGTGTCAAAGAATGAAAGCCATCAGAATGTGATGCTTAAAAAGCAATTTACAGCAATGCAAAAAAAAAAAAAAAAAATCCATGAAGTTGACAAATTGAAAAGAAAAAAAATCCCTCCTTATCACATTTGGTTTTATATTACCATTATTTGAATACTTGTGAAAGGCATGCAAAAACTATAGAACAGTAAATTAAAATACCACTGTAGTGTTCATAGCCTTTTCTCTCTATTCACTCCCTACCCAAAGGAAGAGTTCCAGGTACCTGCTGGACTCCCAAACCTCTTGTTATGTTGATCGAGAAAATGAGAAGAAATGGGTAAATAGTTGAAAGTGGCGATACATATATTGTTTACACAGATAAGGAAGAAAACTATTACATAGGAGAAAAAAATAGAGCCAAGAAGGTGGAGTCGCGGGGGCGGGGGGCGGGGGGGGGCGGGATAAAAGAGACTAGAATCCCAACAGCCGGGGAGGGAGAAAAGGGCTGAGGAGATCAGGAGGAGGAGGCCTGAGTCTCTAGCTGGCCCAACAAGTATGAGTACTAGAGAGAAGGGTAGGGAAACAAAGGCCTCTAACAAGGTTTACTACGAGCTATGGATTGGACACCACATCATTTTTCCAGAGATTCTAGTAGAGTTATTAGTTGTTTTGGGCTACCCATCTGGTGTGTACTTGAATGCTAATGTGCAGAGTGTGGACTGTGTGGCTTATTCTGGCCACATCTCACTTTCTAGACCTAAGTCACTTCTGTCAAATGAAAGCCATGGCCAAGATGAGTGGGAAGGACCCTCTCAGCTGCAGTGGTCCACAGTTCTCTGGTCTATTCCTTCCTGCCAAGTATAGTGAGGAGGAACATCTCCTCCCCTCTCAGGATTAGCACTAATCCTCTCTCTCTCACTCGCTCTCTCTCACCCATGTCTTTCTCCTCAACTTTCCAACATGAAGATGTCTCCTCTACCTCAGATTTAAAGCCAAATCTCCATTTGACCTGGTGACAACTCTAGTTACAGTACTGTCTCCTACCTTCTTTACAACGACAAGTTCATTACCATGTGGATTACGTGGGAAAGGTCCGTTTCCTTATCACCACTGGCGAACCCAACGCCCTCTGCAACTGCTTCCTGGGAAGTCAAAATGCCTCCTATACCAACGCAACAATCCTCCATCAGTTCTCAACTCTACAATGGGCAGCACTTCCTAAAAACTCTCTAGCATTTAGTCTGTGGGAATCTGCTTCCTTTATTTATCAGTACAGGATGGGTCATCAAAAAAAGTTTCATTGGGTGTAAGAGTAACAGCAGTCAAACTGATAATTTTTGAAGATATAAGGACATGGTTTGAATGTTATTAATAGAGAAAGGAAGAGAAACATCACCTTGCTTGTCATCAAGCATATCAAAGGCAGTTTATCAGCAAACTAGTCTCATCTTCTGACCAAGCACCTATCTTTGGCTTTCAGAATTCTGGTGGGTAGAGGACTAAAATCTACAGAATTCTGAATTCAACTGTGCTATGCTTAGTAGAAGACAAGCTAGCTACTGATTCAGGAAGCTCTCTGAGATACTCTTTAAGAAGCTCCATAAAAAGGGTGGAGGGGGTGGGTGATGAAAGGAAAACAGTGATAAATGACCTTACAGCACAAACTCGGGCCTCTCGGGCCTCTCGGCAAGCTTCAGGGCCTCGTGCATGCCTGCAGCCGAGAGCTTCCGGTTGATATTCCGGTACTGGCACTGGAGCAGGCTGCGATAGGTGGTCCTCAGGTCCCGATTGAAGAAGGCATATATAAAAGGGTTAATGAGAGAGTTTGCATAGCCCAGCCACAGAAATGTCCTCTCCACCCACAGCGGGATGCAGCTGCAGGCTGTGCCGCAGATGAAGGGTCTGGCTGTCGAGAGGAGGAAAAACGGCAGCCAGCACACAGTGAAGGCCCCGACGATGATCCCCAAGGTGGTGGCTGCTTTCTGTTCTCTCTTAAAGATGGAGATGTTTTTCCTTTCGTGTTTGAGGAGTCTCGAAAGGTTGGCACACTCCTCCACCTCCTTCTGGAGCTTCACCATGCCGTTCAGGGAGATGATGCTGTCCGGCGGGTGCAGGCGCGGGAAGCCGGGGAACTTGTGTTTGGCGGCGCTCTTCCTGGCGGCCTTGTAAATCTGATAGTACATGAAAAGCATGACGGACATGGGGATGTAAAACGCCACTGCAGTGGAGTAGATCGTGTAGCCAAAATCTTGGCTGATCAGGCACACCTTGTCATCGTTTACGTTCTGAGCCCACCCAAAGAGCGGGGGCAAAGTGATGGAGGCGGAAAGAAGCCAGACAGAGAGAATCATCTTCGCCATGCATTTCCCATTCTGCCTCACAGGGTACGTTAGCGGCCGCGTGATTCCCAGGTACCTAGGAAAGAAAGGGAAAAAGGACATGTGACTGCAGCGATCAGGACTCATCAACTAGGGAGTACCAGGAGTCAGGTGCTAGGCTCTCTACCTAGTAGCTTCACTCCTCACAACAGCCCTTCCACATAGGCATCATTATTCCCATTTTGAAGAAAGGCAGGGCTCTGCGACGTCACCTATTTTATTCCAGGTCACACAATTAGCTAGAGGCACTGCCAAGATTCAGTCTAAGAGCCCTCTGCCTGTAATGCTACTCCATGCTCTTTTCATACCTTGTAGCTTCTTGTATTCCATGTAGTCAATGAACTAAAGATCAAACATCCGCCCGCCCCCTATGACCACTGTCACCAAAATCAGCCAGGAACAAAATGTCAAGCCTGATGCAGGATGTTGTGACACATCCTCACGAATTAACCAAGGTCTAGCACACTCTGACATTATACACCCACTGCTCAGCTGTCTTATTTCAGGCCAGCTTTTAATTCATTTTAACGGCTCCTTAGTACAATAGCAAAAGAACTTCTTTAAGATGGCAGAGATTTGTAGATATTTATAAAATCCTAAGGTTTTAGAATGGAAAGTAGCAAGTGATCATTCTTTTACCCCCAGAAAATTCTCACACAAGAGTAATGTCAGAGGAACAATCTATAAAATAAAAACAGCCTGCCCCCACATCTCTCCTCTTGAGAAGGCTCACAAGAAAGGGCACCAGTCTGAAAAACAATAGGTAAACCCAACATTTCCTCTGTGCTTAGTTCTACATAGAGAATAAATATTTCTCTGTTTCTGTTATCGAGGATTTATAATGCAAAAGAGACACGGCAAACAGAAAACATACAGTAAAACATTTACCAAATGCTTAATCATTTTTAGCTGTCTGAATTTGTTTTCTCCTCTGTGTTTAAGAGTCTTGGCTTCTATTTTGGGAGGATTAAAGAGCACTGGAGAAGCCAAGACAGGTAAATTAAGCTGGTCATTTTGTTGTGTTTTTCTTACTTCATTTGTGTATAAAAGATATGCTCTTGAAACATGAAAAGGAAAGGTACAGAGAGTTCCCAACTTACCAACGGGTTATTTTCAGAAAGTCTGTCAGTTGGCAGGTTGAAATTTTAAAAATAATTATTTTTGCGTTAGAAATATCCTCTCATGTTATATAAGCTTAAATTATTCTACAAAGTCAAAAATCATTCTTTCACAATGAAAATGAGCATCATTGCAATACTTACAAGGAAAAACTGAAATACAGGAAAAAGAAATGTCAGATTTGCTTACTCATTGAAAATCTCCATCCATTTCTTCAACAAATATTAATACAGCTCCTTCTACATGCCAGGTGCTATTTTAAATGCTGGGGATACGGCAGAGAATAAATCACACAAAAATCTACACGGCACATGGGGAAATCGTGGAAGTGCTGACCAGACGGACTGAACCTGGTAGGGTTGCCGCAGGCCCTCCCAGTCCCTTCCAAGGAGCCAGGCGTTAGTAGCGCCCATTCTTCAGTTCACAGCCTCCGCTTTCCCTTTTCCTTGATGAAGCTGACCCACAAGCACTATCCCTAGGTTTATCAGCTGTCAGTAGGATTACGTTTTGACTCCCAAATAGAATGATGGAAAAGAGGGCGGTTTCCCTAGAGTGCAAGAAAAAGAGCTGAAAGGACAAGAAAAGAGAAAAGGAGGGAGGAAGGAGAGAGGAAGGGAGGAAGAGGGGAAGGGAAAAGAGAGAGCAAGAGAAGGGAAATGTGAAGTAAATTTTGCCTTATGTGGAGTTACCTTAAGTCATCTGACTTTTAAGCAAGGGGGGGAAAAATTAAGACTTTTTTTAAGTAACCAAGGAAACCCCTGAAGAAAGGTGTTAAACTGATCCCTGCCCCAAGACTGAATGCGAACATTCCATTAAGAGGGGGAAAAAAAGGTTTCCTGCGTTTCCCTTTCTTTGCTTGGCTTCAGGAGTTCTCTCTCTGGTTGGAACTCCTTTGCAGATCTTTCTTTTTGGACCTAGTCCTTGCTGTCTATCAATTCCAGCGGATGTAGCCCTTCTGGCTCCTTCCTTGTTCCAGACAACCTTTGCCAAGACTCGGACTTCACCTTTTTACCTTGGACTTTGCCTGTTGCTTCAGGCATAAACTGCTCGTTCCCAAGGGTGGATCTGGCTTCCAGGATACCAACCCAGACTGCAGGTTCAACAGGAAGAGTGATTAGTTCATACAGTTCCCCAGGTAGCCACCAGATGGCATTGTCAGCTGAGAAAATCTTAACACCTACGGGATTGGGATGGTGGGTAGTTAGCAACGAGTGCTTGTTGGAAGGAAGAAGTAGCATTACTCGTAACAAGACAAGAAGTTAGATTTCATTTGCCAGGTTATACAAAGAAATTAGCAAGCCTCGGATTCACAGCCTGGTAAACTATTCTTGAGGAAGACAGCTCAGTTTTCCCTTCCATCCTTCACATTTTCTTTACCCAAACAGGAACCAATATCATCAGACTTAATTAAATCAAGCCTTTCTGCAGCTCACATAAATGATACAGAATTCACAAAGATGAATCCTGGGAGATTAATTAATTGAGTACCAAGGACATCTAAGAATATTAAATAATCTCATATTAGGAGCAGCTTATTCATCTTAATATACTTAGCCTGACATATTACATTTCACTGATGTGACATTGGTCCATATTTGGTCCTTCCTGAATGTACCAATTATATTCCATAAACTCTCCTATTTTACACCCCACTCTTTAATGTTCTCAAGTCATGTCCTACACTAAGGAAATTATATTTACTTCATTTATTTCCTGGGTACCACTTAGTGAGACTTTTGAAATCTAATATCAACCAAAAGATGATTAGAAAAAAAGTAAGTACTCATTAGAGTGTCTTGAAATAAAATAAATAAACAAAAGTCAAACTTTAAAAAAAATGATTGGAAAATATTATAGAAGGAAATAATTCCATTCAGAGAAAAAAATTAAAAATTAAAATATCTAGAAAAATCTATCAAAATGGCCAGGGCCTAAATAAACAAACATAAAATGCTACCAAGGGAACTAGGAGAATGCTTGAATCCATGGGGGGAATTTTTTTTTAATAAGAAAATCCAGCATTACAAAAGTGCCAATTTTCCCTCAATTAATTTAAAAATATTGTACATCTCCAGCAGAAAAATATAGCAAGGCTTTTGTTACTTTGGCCAAATGATTTTTAAGTTCACCAAGTAAATATGCAGAAATAGACAGAAAGCCTGAAAATGAATTTAAATGAGGGACTACTTAATAGTCATAGGGATGTAAAGTACAACATAAGCAATATAGTCAATAATCTAGTAACTATGTATGGTGTCAGATGGGTATAAGAGTGATCAGAATTATCACTTAGCAAGGTATATAATGTCTAATTACTGGGGTGTACACCTGAAATTAATATAGTATAGTACATCAACTGTAATTGAAAAATATGATTACAAATAATTAAAGGAAATGAATAAAATAAAATTAAATTAAAGAACACTTATCCTAGAAATAGTATAAAGCCACAGAAATAAAATCTCAATAACAATTATTCAGAAATAAACAGATAGATCAACAGAAAAGAACAGATCTCAGAAATACATTCAAATATATAATGAAATTTAATATGAGTCATTTTAAATTGGTAGTAAAAGACTGAGTATTCATGAATCTGACAACTGGCTAGAAATAAAACTGGCTTATCTTTGTCCTTATTCAAAAATGAATCCAAAACTATCAGACAGAGAAATTAAGAAAACAATCCCATTTACAACTGCATCAAAAAGAATAAAATACCTAGGAATAAATTTAACCAAGGAAGTAAATGACCTGTACTCTGAAAACTGTAAGACATAGATGAAAGTAAAAGAAGAAGACACAAATAAATGAAAGTATGTAACATACTCAAGGACTGGAAGAATTAATATCATTAAATTGTCATACTACCCAAAGCTACTACAGATTCAATGAAATTCCTCATTAAAATATCAATGGCATTTTTCACAGAACTAGAGCAAATAATCCTAAAATGTATATAGAACTACAAAAGACCCTGAATAGCCACAGCAATCTTGAAAGAGAACAAAGTTGGAAAAATCACACTCCCTGATTTCAAACTCTGCTACAAAGCTATCATAATCAAAACAGTAGGGTACTGATACAAAAACAGACACATGGAATAGCCCAGAAATAAACCCACATTTACTTATATGGTCAATTAATCTACAAAAAAAGAAGGAAAGAATATACAATGAGGAAAAGACAGTTTCTTCAATAAATGGTATTAGGAAAACTGAACAATACATGCAAAATAAAATAAAATTACTTTCCTACCACATATACAAAAATAAACTCAAAATGAATTAAAGACTTAAAGGTAAGACCTGAAACCATAAAACTCCTAGAATAATACATAAGCAGTAAACTTTGACATCAGTCTTAGCAACATTTTTTGGTTATGTCTCCTCAGGCAAAGGCAACAGAAGCAAAAAATAAACAAATGGGACTATATCAAACTAAAAAGTTTTTTGACAGTGAAGGAAACTATCAACAAGACAAAAAAACAATCAACTGAAAGCAGAAGATATGTGCAAATGATATATCTAATCAGAGGTTAAGAACTCGTATATCTCAACATAAAAATAATCAAATTAAAAAATGGACAGAGCACCTTAATAGACATTTCTCTAAAACAGACATACAGATGGCCAAAAGACACACAAAAAGATGCTCAACATCACTAATTATCAGGGTAATGCAAATCAAAATCACAATGAGATATCACCTCACAACAGTCTGAATGACAACAAATAACAAGTACTGGCCAGGACATGAAGAAAAGAGAACCCTCATGGGCTGTTGGTGGGACGGACTGTAAACTAATATAGCCACTATCAGAAACAGTATATTTCCTCAAAATATTAAAAATAGAACTACCGTACAATCCAGAATTTCACTTCTGGGTATTTATCTGAAGAAAGCAAAACAATAATT